ATAGAGAATCTTTGAAAATTGCAATTCATTTACTTTTTGACAGTAGAGGTATCTGGTTATTTTGAACGGAATTCGTGTCACAATAAATCTTTCCCACTCTTCAACATTCTAACATAATTCCTGAACATAAAATTCATCCGCTCTTATCTTTAAAGTATTTGAGATTTTTAAGAGATTACAATTTATGGATACAAGTAACCACCCCCACAACTGGATATCGGAATTGAGTGCTCTATATAAACTCTTAATAACTGATATTTCAGGAATTATACACGGACTGAACGGTTTCTACAGGGTACCCAGTAAAAAGCAGTAAATTCAGAAAGACGCGAGGCAACCGTTGAAAACTGGTGATGCCTGTTTTGACTGAAAAAATCTGGAAGAATTTCTGCACATTTCGTCAATCCCCACATCGGATGTTCTCTGAAAAGCACGATAACTTGACGCTCAAAATCGGTGAGTTGTTTAGCCATACGAGAAGGGCAGAACGAAAGACGAATGTTGTCTTCAAATAGCCATTAATTGACGAGTCACAAGATCGAGCAACACTTAATCTATTATAAAAGAGCCAAATAGAGTAAAGTAATTATGCGAGTGACGAATGATTATTCAAGTTCATGAATATTCAAGAAATTTATTCAAGGTTATTTATTCCTGACAAATAAAAGAGTGAAAATAAATTTTCCGCTTTTTTACAGGGTACCCTGTATTTTCATTCCAATGGGTACGAACAGTTTGGTCAAACTTTTGTATTCCACTCTTGTTTACTGGGTGTATAAATGGCCTTTACTGTTGAATAGTTGAGGTTTCTTGTTGCAAATATTATATATAATTTCGGGTTAAGTTTTGTGAATTCTCGAAAACTTCCGTGGATTATTTTCGATAACTGACTGAGTAGTATTTAAGAGTCATCTGTCTCTATAGGTCTATTTATATGTTATACTAAATATATAATCTTTAAAAATTTTCTGAAACAAACGAATAGTATTTGTTTTCACTATTTACATTATTCGGACTATTGTCCTCATCTTTGTTGCCATATTTATCCCAACGAAAACGAAAAATTGCAATATGAGATCTGGTAAAAAAACATATATGATAACAATGCAGTATGAGCACTGGTAAAAAAAAAAAAAAACGTTTGCAGAAGACAGATTATAAGTCCCAGAAATTCATACATAGACACATGGCACATAGATAAAAGCCGTTAGTTAGACCCAGTTACAGTGTGAGTTCAATACCTGGTTAAGGCAGTGGAGATAACTGATAACTGACATCCATTAGACATGGCACGTGGAACTAGAACAGTCTAACCCAGCGAGCGAAATAAAGGCTTCCGTTCGACATTCCAACCACCTGAAGAAGGACGGAGCGTACAACGGCCGAAACGTTGTGATAGATATAGTAACAAAGATGAGGACAATAGTCCGAATAATGTAAATAGTGTAAATAATACCTCATCTCAGAAATATAGACAGGTATTTGTTTTATTCTACTGTCATGATCCAGAATGATGATGATATTTCATTGGTCTAAAAATCTGAAACTTCATGGTTATAAAAACGACCCTTCCACCAGAAGCGCAATTCAGTCGAGTAGCAGTGGCAGTAGTAAAAAGAGCAACACAGACGTATCTTCTTCGTTCCGTGAAAATCGACAGTTGACAGTTTCAAATGCTTCCCTTAAACAAGCAACAAGCAAAGACAAGTAAACACAAACTTTTCAAGAAACAAAAGAGACAATAGCACTGACAACATTTTTAACACACACAATACAAATAATGTAATTGTAATAAACTTCACGAAAAGAAAAATACACATTTTTGTCATCAATGTCAGCGCGTGTCTCAAAGTCTTATTTTTGTTATCGTTGTACGATTTATTCATTTCATTTTCAATAAAAAATGAAAGAGGAAAAGAATCCTCTTTCAACTACAAATATATATAACAATGGGGTAACTTACATTAACACAACTCAACATCCACCCCGTTATTGTTTATTGGAAATGTAATAACCTTTACTGCTGCTGAATAGTTGAGATTCATTGTCGCCAATAGTATATATATATATATTTATCATATTGTGGTAAGTCTCGTGGATTTTCGATAACTCTCGTAGGTTCCTCTCGGTAACTGGCTCTACTGAGAACAATATAAGGATCATCAATCTCTGTAGGTTTCTTTATATAGCTACTCCCAATGACCCTTACTGGCAAAGTTCATTGAGCGAAGAAAAAAGAAAGCAAAAATACTATATGAATTAATGTGCAAGATAAGAATAGAAAATAATACAGAAAAAAAATAAAAGGAAGGGTTGTTGTGTTTCATTATTGTTTTACTGCAGGGGTAAAAGTATTTACCTCTGTTGAATAGTTGAGGTTTCCCGTTGATAATATTATATATTATTTCGTGGTAAGTTTTATGGATTTTCGGTAACTTTCGTAGGTTATTTTCGATAACTAACTTTTCCGATTAGTCATCTGTCTCTGTAGGTTTCTTTATATATTATCTGACAAGCCACCCCAATGACAGTTCATTGATACCAAGCAATAATAATAAGACTGATTTATTATTTAAGGTTTATCAACCTTTTCTGTTTTATTTAAAGAGGAAATATTTGGGATTGTAAGAATAATTTTGTGTGTGTGTGTGTGTAAGTATATATTGTATTAACAGTTTTTTTTAGAATAACAATGATTTTTCAGTTAGAAGTCTTACTGTTTAACCCATAGTTTTCCCAATGGTTTACGCGCATAAGTGACTGGAATTCGAAAAAAGAAATAAAAAACAGTGTTGTGTTTTTATTATTGTTTTACTGGAAGTGTAAAAATCCTTTTCTCTGTTGAAGAGATTTTTTTACTGTAAGGTTACCCTGTCAGTCGAGTTAGAAGATTACGTTAAAAAGCAGTTTATAAGAATAAAAGAGAAAGATAACAGTTAACCTTACACTTGAAATGGTTAAAATTGTAGAGATCAGGGGGGAACATCCTCTTGGCAGTCTGTTCTACAGAGCAGTTTTTCGCGGAATACGGAGGGAATATGGGTGGTTTGCTTAAATGTAAGTGGCATGGTGGATGCTAGCCGTGAAGATTAGAAATGGCGGAAACAAAGAATGTAGTTCGTCCGAGCACTACAAAAGTTACCGAAAATCCATAAAACTTACCACGAAATAATATATAATATTGTCAACGGGAAACCTCAACTATTCAACAGAGGTAAATACTTTTACCCCTGCCGTAAAGAATATGCAGTGAGAGGTTCACCATATCCCGTCTGTGAGAGAGAGGTCTAAGTGTGAAAATAATTCGTCACCCACATCGAATCGAAAACGCTTTTGAACTATCTAAACTGGAAAATGAGGACTAGGCAGCTCCCGCCTAAATATGACAACATTACTCCATTTTCGGCCTGATCTATCTCTTGTAAAGGTAGAGGATAAGCTGAGAAGTCAGATACTAACTCGAGCGGTACAGGGAGCCGACAATTGCATCTTCAGTGATGGATTGTATGGTAATTTTTTTAAGCGTAGCTTGAAGTGCCATAAGGCCGAAAGTTTGGGGGCACCCAGTGAGGACCGAACTCACTACTCAGTCGACAAGCTTGCTAACTATTACGCCTCGTTATTGTACCCTAGCTATTTTCCAAGCGTAGCTTAGATGTGACACAAGGCTGAAAGTATGGGGCACCCAATGAGGATCGAACTCACTACTCAGTCGTAAATTGATCTAGCCAGACAAGCTTGCTAACCTTTACACCACCTCAAGGTGTCCAATGATGGATCGTATGTACGATTTCCACTTGATGTCAGGTGTGAGTTTAAGGCCTAATATTCTTTTAAGGCTTCCCGTTTATCGTGACTGGCGGTACTTCAGGGTCCGTGCCGACAATATTGTATGTTGTTTCGTGGTCTTTCCTAAACAATGATATTAATAAATGAAATTTACCATCAAAGATGGAAACGTTACTAACTCTATGTGTGAAGATTTGAAAATTTAGTAATAATATATAATACTAAACTAATAATAAAAGGGTCTCTTATACTTACAATTTCAATTGTCTGTTTCTGAGAACCAGAAAAAGACCGTTGAAATTTCTCTGACACATAATGAGGAAAGATGGCTTGGATAATTTGATACTCACATGTTAGCGGGACGACGACGATTAACCTACCTAACAAGCTTCTGAGAATAAGGAGTGATAGTAATTTTATTTAATAAGAGCTACAAAGGTTACGAATCTTTATGGAAAATGGAAAGAAAAAGTCTCGGATATATAATGAGAAAAGATGGCTTGGAGAATTTAATCCTCACATGACATTGAAGATAAGAGGGGCAAGGGGATCTATGAGTAAGCAAGATTGTGTAAATAGATGGCAGTCAAGGACTTGGAAGGATAATAAAGAGATAAACATTACCAAGAGCGACAAAGGGTAGACATTTGTGGAGAGCCGCAATCACCCACGTTCTAAAGAATCACAGCTCATAAAAAAGGAAACATTGGCACCACCATTACTCTTTTAAGACGGACTACTACTTTAAGTAATAGCCGAAAATAGGTCAGCAACTGCCAAAATAATGTAATCGTACAGAAGAAACATGTTTGAAATGGAAGCAACAACGAAATGACAATAGTGTTCTGGCATCGAGTGAAAATAACTGGCAAAAGCAATACACCGAAAATTTCAATAACATTTAATAAAAGAAAGTAAAAATAGAAAACGTTTTCAATCTTTTCATGCCGTAATAGGTTCTCTGCAAAAAGGAAAATATATTTGCCTTGAACTTAATGGTGTAGGGGTAAAGAAAGTGGAATAAATTAAAAGGTCAGCAGGAGAGCGGAAATGATCTGCGAGTCTGTGCATGAATAAGTTCCCTTAATTTTGCGGGATTTGCAACATGAAAATGAAGACGAGGGAAAAAGAGGTTACTTCGTGTAAAAATAAAGCCAAATTAACATGGAGTGAAGAAAAATAATTGACATAACCGTGAAAGAAAGAAAGACCTATTTAAAGAGAGAAAGAAAGACAGTGCAACTAAAAGAAGAACGGAGGAAAAACGGAGGAGGAGAAAAAAAAGGAGACAAAAATAAATACGACAAAGATAAAGAAAAAAATAAGAGATAGAGAAAGAGAAAGAAAATAATTACTAGGAGAAGGTAAGAGGAGAAAGAAAACGAAAGGGAAAAAAGAGAATGATAAAAGTAACGAGTATTACAGAAAGCAACATAACAAAAAAAGAAGAAAAAAAATAAAAAAAAAAAAGAAAATGCAAGAAACGAAGAAGCAGGAAAAATCTGAGAAAATTTAAATGGGAAATAATTCAAGTCGACAATTTTGTAAAAACGAATGAAAAGGAAAACTATTTAAAATTTTTCTTGCACAAATACCTAATCACAAATTCTTTTTTTTGCATCTAGCTATACAGAAATAATCAAGATTATATATATATATATATATATATATATATATATATATATATATATATATATATATACGGAGTCCCGATTCTGAGGTTACTGAGGACTCTATAATCTTACAGATGGCTGCATAGAATGTACTACACCACGACTACAGGGCGCGATGGGTAAATTATCGCCATTTTATATTTTTAATTTCGCGCATGTGCGTTGTTTGTTTTATATTTTGTCGCCTGCACAGTATGGTAGTGTCAGGTGGGCACGGACTGCGAGAAAAAGAGCACCATGACACAATTCACTCTGCCAAAAATTTGGAAACGCCATGCTGTACTGCTTGGCATTCGCGCCGGAAGCTTCAATATAAACATTTTAGAGTGTTTGGGTGTCAATCTGAGGATAGTGTAGAGGGTGCAGAAAGAGTTGGATGAGTCTAATGATGATTACAAAGGTTTTTGGAATGATCATTAGTGATGGCGACGTTATAGATCAATTCATCTTCCCACAGGGCCCCATGCTCAACACAGAGGCATTGCATCAAGTGACTTGAGGCGGTAGCGATTACCTGGAAGATCCTATTTCTGGAAACAGGACTCTGTACCATGCCACACAAGCAGGAGAACCAAGTCATGGCTGTCAGACAATTTCTGCGACCACATCACTCCTTACATCTGTCTACCTATCTTCCCAGATTTCACCCCCCTTGGTTATTATGTGTAGGACTCAGTTGAACGAGATACCAACAAAACTCCTTGTAACTCCAAAGATGGACTGAAGGTAAGGATTATGGCAGCATTCACCAAATTAAACAAACAGACCTCCCAGAAGAGTTGCAAGAAATTCTGAAGTTGTCTGGAGGTCGTGGTTGAAGCTAGTGGTGATTTTATTGATTAAATTTACTCTTTAGTATTTTAAGATATTTTTGTAAATATATCTGTTAAAATGAGATGTCAGTGTTATTTTCATTTTTGCATCATTTAGACGACGAATTGTACATATGATTTCGGATTCAGAGTAGTCCTCCTGTCTGACTAGTGACCAACCACATCTATAGAATCTAGTCTGCTTTGCTATTTGAATGATAGCTCTTTGGTGGTGCGAAAACTATGTATTAATAACTGTCCCAAGTGTATTTGCACGAAAGTGAATGTGACGACCTCAGCTGAAATTCGAACTCGGCTCTCCGAATTCTTTCCTAGTTACTGTACCTTAATGAAAAAATATAAAAAAGGCTTATTCCTCACTCACTGTGAAGAGTAAGAGCAGAATATTTTTTGCTCTCCATGAGGGAAAATTTTCATTCATTCTCTTGATCTTTATTCTGCCAAGTTCATATGAGTTTTTTGATTTCGTTTATATATTCAAAGGTTCTTATCAGAAGGATTTTCTGTAGAAAATTTTATCACTTTGTCGTCGTTGAAACACCAGTGCGATCACCGAAGTTAAGCAACGCCGAGCTTGGTCAGTATCTCGATAGGTGACCACTTGAGAATACCAGATGCTGTAAGCTTGGATGTGTGGTAGTGAAATGAATAACTGCTCGGAATTTGAAGTCGGACTACCGAGTTCTAATTCCACTCGGGTACATTGTATTCACTTACGCAAATACACTTGGGAAAGATATGAAACCATCTCTTCTCTCCCAGTTATGGGCTCTGGGACTAGAATCGATAAATCCTCATCTCCCTAAAATTTTTACCATCTAAAAATATTTTCTGGCTTTAAATCACCTGCGAACGATCGATAAGCCGTAAATCATTAATCATGTTACTCAATATGCCAGCAAACAGTATCTTCCAGTTTAAATTCCAGTTTAAAATGACGTCTTTTTATTCCTTATATTGGGATCATTTTGCTTAAATTCTTATTTTTTTTTACTTCAAATGAAATGCTGAACACTCTCCAATAATTTCAGTGAAAATAATGGTAACTGCTCTGACGAGCGATTTGCACTGGTGCCCTGACTGCATGAATTTAAGCGTGCTACTAGGTTGATATCGCGGACCCACCCTTTTACTGTCGAAACAGTTAAATGTAACCGCCTCTTCTACTCCAACAGCGATGGGGCACTATATATAAAATATTAGAGGAGTTTAAATGTATGTCTCTCCCTCCTGAAAATATTAAGGAGTTTAATTTGAGAAGTATAAATTTCTGTTAAATAGAAGGCAATAATTATACTAGATTTTATTTTGTTATTATAGAGTGAATAGTTTTTATTAGTGGATTTACGATAAACACTTACTTTTATATATTTATCAGTATAGTTTAACACGATATTGAGGAAACTAATATATTGCGATTGTTTGAAGATACAACAAAATTTACTTACGAATGTTTAGTTTCTTTACAAGTTCAGGTAATATTGTTTTAAGGCATGTAGGGTTCTTAGTACTAGAAATAAAAAAAAAATATGAATAATATAGTTTTTCTAAAACTTGACGCATAATACGATTTACGAACGAAATAACGACTATTTATCTAAACTTAATAAAAGAACCGTTACAACTATCTACAAAACAATAGGATTCATTAATGTCATCATTATGAAAACGTCATGTAACGGGGAGTAGAAGTTTATCCTTTGTTTCCTGTTTAGGGTTGTGTTTCCGGTTCCTTCAATTCTATACTCCTAATGTCTCCGTCTAAAAACGTTTTGCCTGTTGCCAAACGTTCATTGCTGTCGAACTCTCTGCTTCGGTCGAAGCTTTGCCGCCGGGCAAAATTTCGTCCGGTGAGGTAGACAGGCTCTGAACCCGTTTATACGGGTTCAAAGGGAATCTTTTTGGCCGAGCCTACGAGATCGGAGAACCCACGCTAAACCGGCCTTGTGCCACATACATCCCACGTGGGGGGCGTTAAATATTAACGTCTCCGTCTGAACTCTGAAAATGTGTTCGCTAATTAGATCTTGACCTCTTCAAGTCTCGAATTAGCTACCTTTCCTGTAATCTTGCTCTTTCTTATACTAATACAACTCAACACGGTAACCCTCTACTTTGAGTGGCACTTGGGCCTTGTATTTGGTGAACATTAGCAAAAATGTAATGAGGATATTCAGCAAGGCCCTCGTTATTAACATGTCATTTAATGGTGAGACTGTTGCTTACCTTGAACAAGATTTCGTTGACCAGCAAAGTATAGGAAATTTTAATTTTGAGATACTATTTGTGACCAGTGGTATTTTTCTTTGGACCCGGTACGATATCCTGAAAACAATAACCCCTCCCCAACACACACACGCACACACCAAATTCCAAATATTTTTTTAGAATGTTTGAGTTTCTGATAATTGTTATAATTAGTTATTAAACTAACGTCACGGAAACGGAAGCAACGTAATTCTTAATCTTCCCTCTCTGTCGGATAGTTGAATACCAAAAATGTTATGTACAGTGAGTTGGTCATCGGACAAAGCCCAGTAGACCATCCTGCCCCGCGCTTTCAGAATGTCTGCAAGCGCAACTTGAAATTCACAGACATTGATCCACAAAACTGGGAGAAAATGGGAGAGAGGCGCGGATTGGCGTAACTTTCCGATGGAAGATAGAAGACGACTCAAAAGGACAAAGACGGCAAAATCAAATTCACGCTCCACACCCTCATTTCTCATGCATTACCCGCGGACATGATTTTTATTCAAGAATCGGAATTGCTCATTCTTGATATTGTTCTCAGGCGGCGACACTTATCAAGACGCAAACTTAGGACATAAAAGATATTCAGATTAACATGTAAATTATTTGGAAGAAACTTATTTTTTTCTTCAGTTATGTTGAGAGATAAAATTCTAAGATTCATAGGAGGATATTTCTCCTGAAGTTTCATATGAGCTCCGGCCAATTCTGTTGCATTATTTTGCAAGATTTCGGTGAATTTAGCTTTCCCTCATTTTCTTATTCTCTTTGATATTTTTCTTTTGGTTGGGCTTGCATGTCAGTATTGATTGGTCTGTTTATCGGTCATTTAATGTCGAAATTTAATTTTCCTGGGCGCTTTGAAGTAATAAAAATATGTTATTTTGCTTTCTCAGTTGAATACATACTCAGCTTTTGCTCATTTACAAATTCGTATAGATATTACTAGGGGCGGTGATATGTGTGTTTTACGTTTATTTATAAAAGGTAACCAAAAAAGTTCTGTCCGTTTTTTGATTAGTCATTGAATGAAGTTGAAATATCTACGAAATGCGTGTAGCAATTGTTTTCAAATTCGGACAGCCGGAAGTAGGAACATCAGACGTTATAAAAAAACACGCGCACCGTGCCCGGCCATCAGTTATAAGCCGGACAGCTGTGAGAAGGATGGAAGTGTCTAGAGATCTCGTTCGGGGCTGTTTGCTTTACGATTTCAAAGTGGGCTTATCAGCAGCTGCATCAAGTCGCCGATATATGTCAAGCGTTTGGGGATAGTGCTGTGGATGAACGTACTGCCTAGGTAAGACGTACAAACTGAGCAAGTGGGTTCCACAAACGCTGTTGGAGGTCCACAAGAGATAACGAGCGGCCGCCTGCGTATCGCTGCTTTCTCGCCACCGTACCGCATCCTTATTCAATCGAGTGCTTACCAGTGATGAAAAGTGGGTCCTGTACGAAACTCCCAAGCGTTCCAGACACTGGTTGTCTCTTCAGGATGCTGTCCCTCACATCGCAAGACCGCCTATGCACCCACGCAAGATTATGCTTTGTGTTTGGTGGACAGGTCGTCAAGTGGTTCATTATAAACTGCAATGACAATGCCAGGCTGCATGTCGCGTGGGTGGTCAGGGATACCATACAGCAACTTGGGTGGGAGACTTTGTGCTATCTACCTTATGCACCTGACCTTGCGCCATCCGATTACCACCTGTTCCACTCCCTGGATAATCATCTTCGTGGGAAATCCTTCACGAATGAAGCAGACTTGCGCAAAGTCCTCACGGACTTCTTTGCGTCAAAACCCGCCGAGTTCTAACGCAAGGGCATTGAATAGCTGGAGACACGTTGGCAGAAGGTGCTGGATGCCGATGGCGGTTACTTCGAAGACTAAATATAAGTTACACATACTTTGAAGCGTTTTCTTTTTTCCTTTAAAAACGGACATAACTTTTTTGGTTACCTTGTATTTTGGAAAACAGTTATTTAAAAAATTGTAGGATATTATATAGATTAATATCATTAGAGTTCATTCATGTTGATGGTTTGGTCTTTTACTTATATAAAAATGTGTTGCTGGCATTTTTACTATTACAATGCATTTTTATACTTTCATAGTGTTTTTATTTACTCTTTCTCTATTTGCTCATAGCTGGAACACCCACCCCGGGTCATGGTGGGCCTTGGAATAACAGCAATTAAGAGGTGGTTCGACGCTCCTCAAAACATCCAGTCTCCCGATCAGAGGCTTTGCTGCCGGATGTAGTCTATCGTCATACCCACGACTTACATGTCAATGTCAAAATTGCTTCCAATATCCTCTTGGGCTTTGAACTCCCCAGCAGGTTCATATTTATCGTTTATATTTTCATGGAGATCTTCGTGACACAACGTCTCCAAAAGCAGTACAAGATTTCGATAATTTTCTTTTAATTCATTCACTTCTGCAGTTGTTTGTATTCTTGGTTCTTCTAAATGTCTCGAAATCATTTAGATCCATTCCATGAGAATCCTGACTATATTTCTTCAATAAGAATTCTCGAATGTTCAAGGCTGGTAGACAAAATAAAATACTGTTTAAAATAAACGAAGCGTCTACTCAAAGGTGTGTATCCCCCCCAAATAACGTTTAAAGTAATAAATATGTGTGTGTGTGTGTGTGTGTGTGTGCGTAGAGATAGAAAAAAATCAGAAGTATGCAGAGAGAGAGAGAGAGAGAGAGAGAGAGAGGGGGGACAGAGAGAAAGAGAAAGAGACAGACAGACAGACACACAGATACAAACATATACAGAGAGCGATTAACTGATTTTTTACGGCTTATAAACCCCTTTTAGACTATTGAAATCCGAAATATATTTAAGATTGTAGTAATAATTCTATTTTTACGAGTGAATATTGCATTAACAATTTTGCGAGAATAAAAATAATTTTTACAGATACAACTCCTACTATTTAACCCAAAGCTGGGGGGATAAGGATTCAAGGGCTATTGGCGCGTAAGTGAGTATATCGAACCCGACTGGAATTCGAACTCGGCCCTCAGATTTCTTATTCCGAATCGCTATCCATCAATCTCACAGACAGAGGGGAAAGTGGATGAAAAAAGTAGTCTAGGTAGACACACACAGAGATAGAATAGAAGATGCACATTCATGCATGTGCGTACACATACACACAAAAGTAGAGAGAAAGAGAGAGAGAGAGAGAGAGAGAGAGAGAGAGAGATGCTAATCCATGCGATGTCTCTGGGAGAATGTGATTGCCAATCTCTAGTTAGATGTTCCTTGCGACAGCGCTCATTAAAGAAGGACATTTCCCCCAATTAATAGTCTTCGTAATGCAGGCATGGTGCAAAGAGAAAGACGACTTCTTATAAAGATGTCAGGCAGAAATTCCGTTTGGTCTCCGTGGTTTTATTTTCATATTACATGAGATAAAAAAAACCCCAAAAAACGTTAAGTCGTCAAATCCCTGATGTCAGTTGTTTATTGGTTTTTTTGTTTCTCGAGGAATTTTGCACTCATTGGTCCAATTATTGGGTGGGAAACAAAGCATACAAAAGTTAGCGCTGGGTTTGCGGGGGTGGTAATGAAAGAGGATAAGTAAAGGTCCATGGCACCGAATAAAATGAAGAGAGAAAAGGAGAGGAATATAGAATGAAAGAAAGGGAATAAGAGAAGAGGTAAGAAACTAAGAATGAGGTTTGAGAAGGAAGCGAAAATGCAAAACAAAAAAATTTCCATGTTGGTGAAAGAAAGATAGAAGCTAATGGACGGGGAGAGGAAAGACAGTATGCGAGAGAGTAAGCAAAAGAAAACCCATGGCGGGGAATTAAATAAACGGAATAAGAGAAAAAGAAGAAAGTAACAACGTAGGTTAAGAAAAAGGAAATAAAACCTATGATGAAGGCGAAGAAAGAAAGAAGGTTAATGATAGTCAAAGAAAAAAAGAAAGAAAGGAGTCTAATGATAGTCAAAGAAAGAAAGAAGGTTAATTATAGTAAAAGGAAGAAAGAAAGAAGGATAAAGATAGTCAAAGAAAAATAGAAGGTTAATGACAGACAGAGAAAGAAAGAAAGGAGTTTAATGATAGTCAAAAGAAGAAAGAAGATTAATGATAGTCAAAGAAAGAAGATTAATGATAGTCAAAGAAAGAAAGAAAGAAGGTTAATGATAGTCAAAGGAAGAAAGGAGTTTAATGATAGTCAAAGAAAGAAAGAAGGTTAATTTTAGTCAAAGAAAAATGAAGGTTAATGATAGTCAAAGGAAGAAAGAAAGAAAGAAAGAAGGTTAATGATAGTCAAAGGAAGAAAGGAGTTTAATGATAGTCAAAGGAAGAAAGAAGGTTAATTTTAGTCAAAGAAAAAAGAAGGTTAATGATAGTCAAAGGAAGAAAGAAAGAAAGCATGGTAATGATAATCAAAGTAAGAAATAATGAATATTAATGATAGTCAAAGGAAGAAAGAAAGAAGGTTAAAGATAGTCAAAGAAAAAAAGAAGGTTTATAATAGTTAAAGAAAGAAGGTTAATGATAGTCTAAAGGAAGAAAGAAGATTAATGATATTGACTATCATTAATCTTCTTTCTTAAGAACGAATTAATGAAGGTTAATGATAGTCAAAGAAAGAAAGAAGGTTAATTTTAGCCATAGAAAAAAGAAGGTTAATGATAGTCAAAGAAAGAAAGAAGGATAAGGATAGTCAACGGAAGAAAGAATGTTAATAATAGCAAAAAGAAAGAAAGACAGTTACTGTTAGTCAAAGGAACAAAGAAAATCAATGATAGTCAAAGAAAGAAGGTTGTAATTATAGTCAAAGAAAGGAAGACGGTTAATGAGAGTCAAAGAAAGAAAGAGTGAAGGTTAATGAAGTCAAAGAAAAAAAATGAAGGTTAATGACAGTCAAAGAAAGAAAGGAAGAAGGTTAATGAGTCAAAGAAAGAAAGAGTGAAGGTTAATGAAGTCAAAGAAAAAAATGAAGGTTAATGACAGTCAAAGAAAGAAAGGAAGAAGGTTAATGAGAGTCAAAGAAAGAAAGAGTGAAGGTTAATGAAGTCAAAGAAAAAAATGAAGGTTAATGACAGTCAAAGAAAGAAAGGAAGAAGGTTAATGATTTTCAAAGAAAGAAAGAAAGATTAATGGTAGAGAAGAGAAAGAGAGAACAAAAACGAAACTCAAGGATGGTAAAAAAAAAAAACATCGACCTATGTTATGGTCCCTACCGAGGCGGTTATGTTAGTAAGCTAGTATTGCAGATGGTACACAACCGCATTTTCTTTTTGTAACAGATTAAACTAATATTACACAATAATTTAGTTTACTTAGCTTAATCATGTCAGGCATTGGCTTACTTAGTTTCGAACTTGTTACCAACGCCACATTAATCCCTGTTCAACGAATACAAGCTACACTCACTTTTACTGATATAAAGACGTCCATTGAATAGAATTTGTCAGCTGCTGTGCTTTTATCAGAAAAATCCATTTAAACTTAACGATTCTATTTACTGATAAATTACCATGCAAGAATGTTTTTGTGCAACTCAATATAGTTGATTCATTCAGAATACCCCTTTTAAAAAAAATAGTTTTTTTAAATTAACAAAACAAAACAAAATCCATTATTACTCAATGTCAGGTTGAAAATTTGTGAATAGAATTTAATGTACTGTACATTTATTTAAAGTTAACGGCGTTTCAAATGACAATCGTCTACTTTAATCAAGAAAAAAAAGAAGACATTTGCCTCCATAAAGAGTTAATTATATACGTAGGGATAAGTTAAACGAAATTTAGTTACCCTTGACGATAAGATCTATCGAGATTTTTTTCGTGGGTATTTTTTTTTTTTATATTTTGTCAGAAAATGCAGGCTACTCGTACTAAATGAACTTTCTTAAAAAGAGAATCGACGGAACATTATAAGAAAAGTTGCCTATTGATAATTTGAAGGAAGAAAAAAAAAAAAGACGCAGTTTTGCAGATTCCTTACCGAAAATTCTAGTTTACCTCGAACATCAAAATTTTTACAACTTTCTAGGAGGTGACAATGTCAAGGTGAACAGAATCACTGATCGGGAGAATAGGAGAATATATATATATATATATATATATATATATATATATATATATATATATATATATATAATGCATGAACGTAAGAGTTATGTGCATATGGAAAGCGAGATAGGCCATTGCATTTGCTTTCACACAAATACTTTTGCGTTTTTTGATGGGCGAGCAAGAATTCCTCTCTACTTAGGATTAATATTAGGGCAAACTGAACTCTCTAGATTTAGTTGGGAACCAGCTTTGTTATTCTCCTAAGAGAATAACAAGGCTGAAGTAAAAACCTATTGGGTGTGGGTTTAGCTATTGTACCTCCCGACAAGAATCACAAATATATTCGCTTTTTAACCTAGAAAGTCCTTTTCAAGCCAAATCTCAGCCTATTCAGTC